AATACTACATATTTTTATGAGGAAAGGAATAATTATAAAAAAATATATACAAAATTGGCTAGCAATTAAGCATTCCTATCTGATATAGACTAAAACCTTATAATATATTTAGAAAAAAAAAAATATATATGTGACTGACATGTAAAAAATCATCCTTACCATCCTCCTTTACATCTCTCTTATTGTCTTAAATTGGATCATCAGTCAAAATTGAGGGTGAAATAAGTAACCTCACCACTGATTTTTTAAAGGAGACTGAAATACTTTTATGTATAGTTTTATATATAGTTTAGAGTTCCAGTTAATAACAGGATAAAAACCCAATAGATACTTCTTTAGAAAGACCAACAAAAAAAAAGAATAAAACAGAGAACAAGATCAAGGTACATTCACCGCAAAATCAGTTGACTATTTTCACCATTTTTTAAATTAAACAAAAACGGCAAAAAAGGGCACGAGCTTTTGTTGATTATGAAAGATGACATTCCATTCTAAAATACAAAATTAAAATGTTAAGACTGAATGAGAAAAGAAAACCAACCGAAAGGTTTGGCTGTTGATTCAATTCTAATTTTATTTCTAAAATATTTTCCTTACGTACTACTGAAACTAATCTAACTTAACCTAGTCGCAGCCACACAATTGTTCTTATCTATTCTAATACTGAATGGAGAACATTGCACGGCTGCTTGTAATTTCATTCAAGTGGTCTTGTGCATCTACTGAGCGCATCGATATCTGTGCCTGTGGGTCATAACCTTTATTATCTCACACATTATCGTATGCGTCAGCGCACAAGATCACTGAATTCTTCATATGTGATATTTTATTGCGGCTGGGAAATATTTAATTTTAGAACATTTATTTTTTATTGCTACATTTTCCCAGCGCCTCAATCGCACTCAAAAGTATGTACAAAGTATTTTGTACAAAGACCTTCTCGATATTATTTTTTAAAACTCCACATACTTTTCGAATATGAATTAATTTTTAAAATATTTTTACATCATTATTTTTAAAACTTTTTTATTCTAAAACACTGATAACAACCTCTATTCGATGTTTGAATTTTAAAATAATAACTTTTGATGAAAAAAAAACTAAATTATTGCAATTCAAAAAAAAAAAAAAAAACAAAGACAAATTTTTTCCTTCTTCTTGCGAAAAAGTGAAATATTTCTTAACTTTGCCACTGTGTAATTAAAAAACTAAACAACGTATGACTTTGAAATTTTCGGTACTGAAGTAGAATTTAGTGTTCTGTAATAGTTTAAAAACATTTATTCCAAGAGACGAATTTTATTTTTCAATTAATCTCCGTGATTGGTGATTTCACCCCTCTGTGCGGAGGTTCAATTCAGAATAATGTCGCTCAAATTATCAAAATACCGAATATCGGGAAGTATCGTTATTTGGGGTCTATACAATAACAACATGGCGTATTTACGAACTTAACGTGCCTACTGGCCAAATACACTCGTGTGCATCGATAAATATGTATATATATATATATATATATATATATATATATATAATATATATATATATATATATATATATATATATATATATATATATATATATATATATATATATATATATATATTTATATATTAACTCATTAATTTAGAGCGGATGTGGCGATATGGATTACATTCTCTTGTTTGTAATTGCAGTAAAGGTTTTCACGAACGAAAAGTTTGAGAAATACTTCCGAAATTGCAAAAATCAAAAGTTGTGGAATTGTTGCAGAATGGATTTCACGCTCATAACTTAAGAACGGCTAGGCGGATTGAGACAATTAGCCCCAATTCGGAATGGTCTGTTGGCTTCAACCCTAAGCAATCAACGGTCAAAACTGCAACAAAGTCAAACGCCATAATTTTTACATTTTTTTTAATTTTATTGAATGAAAGCAAACAATTTCAGAAATAACATCAAATTTTAGAATAAGTTTAGATTTGTTCGAATTGATCACCTTTGTCACATGCTGCCCGAATGTTGCTCTGCGGTATTTTGGCCCATTCCCGGCGAAGCGCTTGCTTGAGGTGATCGACACTTTGGTATTTTTTAGTGCCAACCTTGTTTTCCAAAATACTCCAGACACAATATTCCAACGGATTGGTATCCGAAAGTTTTGGTGGCCATTGTGCGCTGGAAATGAAGCGAGAAACCTCATTTTGTAACCATTCTTGGTTGGTGCGTGCTGAGTACGAAGGTGCACATTTTCACCCGACCTCTTTGGAATATTGCGATATGTTCAGCTTACGAATCATTTTTCGCCCACTGCGACGCGGGCTGTAACTGGAATAAATTTAACAGCAGTAGAAATGACAGGAGTCTGAAGTTGGATGCAGTTTTTTCATCTGAACCTGTATATTCAAGGCCATCAATGGACCCTGTAGGGGACAAAATAGTACGATGTACAAAGTTTTGTTCAAATCGGACACTTTCTTCGAAATTAATTGTGCGCATTAGATGATTTTGCTTTAGGGTATGACATTTACCTAAAACTACCATTCGAATGATCATGGGATAATATTTAGCTAGTGAAATGGACTACAATTTTGTGTAAAAAACTAAAATTTTTCATTCGACAGGGATTACTTTTTATGCTGACAGTCGCTTCCCATCGAAATTACAAATTGAAGCAACCCGTCTTATTCTTGTACATTTATATTTAATCCCAAATCATGCAACCTTGTATTCTATTTAAATTAGTACTAATATAGACAACTTAGCCATTACGTTAGTAAATAACTGCGTTCTAGACGACAGTTTCGCTTCTCAAACATAGAACCTAAGTCAGAATGAATTTGAATAAACCACTCATACAACGATCTCCATTCTAACATGTTACATTGTAACCATCAAATCTGTTTCATGGACGCCCAACGAAGAAACGGCGGCCCAAAACACAAATAAAAGTGTTTCAAAATTATGATTAAGAAATAATGCAATAATAATCGTTTCATTGATAGAGGAATCGATGTTTAAAAATATTCTTTTAAATTTCCTTTGAAACAACAAATGACATTAATGTAGGGCAATTGTCACCATCAGTATCGTAAAATATAAATCGATTGCATGAATATATCACATTATTTCAAGACAGCAATGGATAAAAACTATAAATTTTGAAAAAAGAGATGTGAGTTTCTGTGATTAAATTCTTTTTGACATTGTAGGTTTTGGATAGGAGCATGGCAGAATCATGAAGGTAAAGTCATGCAAACACATTTTTAAAAGATATATTTATAATCCATTGTAAATACACAAATCAGAGATGGAAATCTAGTTTAAATGCAGTGAATTTTGACAAGGTAAATGACGAAAAATGCAGAGATGGGCATGCTTGTTTGAAATGACTTTTCCTTCTTAATTTTACCATGGATAGGAGGATCCAATGGTCGTAACATCTCCATTTAAATTGGGAATGAACATTAAAATGGAGTGAACTATGAATCCTTTTTGAAGTATTCCAATTATTCTGTATTCCAATGTATTGAGGAGTTCGTTCATTTTAGTAAAAAGGGTATCACATCTACAGAAAGTTCAACGTAAATTCTAGTGTTGTAGGCTATCACCTCGTTCGACTGTCACTTGTTTTTAACTTGATTTGATTTAATTTAATTATTCACAAACCCGTCATTAAGGATCCAAGTAAAGTTTTCTACTCGTTCCAAATGTGTTTGTACTTCATCCAGCTAGAGTATTCATTTGTGAACAGTCGACAGATACAAGACGGGAAATACAGCTATTTGATCTCTATTAGATTGGACCTCAATTATCGTTCTTTGAAAATATGAAATGAAAACTTTTAAAGAGAATCCAGCCCCTGGTGTTTTGTCTAGGCACGAAGACCAATATGTTGGTTGATAATTTGAGACGCAATGAATCTGGCTGATGATATTAAAGTTAAACAGTTGTCTTCCTTCTAGGACAATCGGAGAGATAACTGCCCATTATGAAATAAAAAAGAGTTCCTTCTCCGATTTCTATGCATACTACGGATTTGTAAATATAAATTTGGACAGTGAGATGTTTTCAAACGAATAATTTTGGAAAAATTGTAAACATATGATTGTATGACTTTACCTACTTAATTCTACCATGATACATACTTTTTTGGGTCTTAGATTATTTTGTCGATGAGTTAAATAAGGAATGACAAATTTAATATACGATCCAAAGTACGGTGTGGGGGTACAAAGACGAAATTAATATGCGCTCCATTCTATGTATGATGGGTTGAAATTAATTTAATGGGAATCTTAGCGTCTACTTTCCATATTCGGCCAGTGTAAGAATGTATGACAGAATATCTGGAGTTGCGCAAGGAAAATTCTCTTTGTAAAAGTTATTAAATGAGAGCACCGTTGAAAAGCGAAGCGTTCACTCTTAAATTATTTCGACTAACTCAGAAGTTATGGCCTTATCCTCGACACATTTTGACCAATAGCCACGTTTAGGCTCAAACAGGTCCAAAGTTTGTAATGTTATAGCAAGAAAGTGCACTAGTTCCATGTAATAAACCATAGAATAAAAAATGTGTCCATCAGTTCAAAATTACACAATTTAGAAAACCTCGATTCTGAATCACATAATTTTCTTGGGAAAAGCACTCGATCATGGGTATGAAATAAAACCTTTGACATATGGTCAATTATTCAATAGTTTAGACTCAGAACGTTTTGAAGACAATTTCGTGGTGGATGTAGAAGATCAATAATATTGAGATAAGTTATGAAGCTATCTAAAAACTAAATATTGCATATCGTATCTACTTTTTAAGGAGATACATGCTTCTAAAACAAAACCGTTAACCCCTTGTACTCTAATTGGTAAAAGCTTAAATAAAATATTTTAGTCAGAGAGCCAAGTTAAGAAACGAAAATTCATTAACATATTTAGAGTGCAGAGCCTTGTTTTACTTATATTTTTTCTTTTTTGCCATTCTATCAGCTGAACATCCTTCACTTTTGTCTTTCCTTTTGTAGGACCCATACATATGTCTTTGAGTTTGAAAGTTTATCCGTTAATTAAATGCATCATTTATATCCATCACTGAAAGGAGATCAGCTATGTCCCTTGGGCTTTCATCCACAGACCCGGTATCCGACGAGATGCAAGCGCTGTTTTCGTGACTACAAAGAGCATGGTGGACGAAGAGGCATCGAAGATGTAGCTGCATCATCGCCAAATCTCTCCGATGGCCTGAATTCAAGGTAAGGAATAAAACTTCCCGCTCTTCTAAATTTATAATACTTCTCAAACCTTTCTCTCTAAGGCCATCTTCACGAACGTGGACTTCAACGCAAAACTTGTCGTCCCTGAATGGCAGTAGCAATGATATTGGTATGGAAGAGAAAGAGAGGAACCATTTTCCTCTCCTATAGCAACGATTAATTAATTACAACTGATTTTCCAAATTCTCTAACAAAATTTATAGCATGTCTTGTTTCTTTTGGTAGTATTTGGCACAAATGCATTACACACATACATACGTACATATATTTTAGAAATAATCAGTTTATTTTGTTTGTAGTTAAATTAGTTGGTACTGAAGCAGTTGGATAATTTGCACAGTGGAACAATTTCAGAAAAAGTGTTGGAAAAGATGGCAATGAATTAAAAGTAAACCGCGTTGTAACAGTAAGGAAATGACAAAAGTCTGACGGGTTGATCTTCAAATGGAAAGTTGCCGGTGGTTACGTAACTTCTTCATTAGGTCCCGTAGTTACAATAAACTGTGAATCCAGATACTCGGCCGAACTTAATGTAGTTTACTTGTTGCCAGTGAAATCCGTTGCAGATTAAAGTAAAAGTCTTCAAAATGCCATAAAGTGCGGTACCAAATCGTGAAACTACATAGACATTTTCCATCTACATAAGTTTTTGCTATTGTGAGATTCAAATACCAAATTTGAAACAATTTTGTATGGCAAAACAACACAGGCAAACACATTTGCTAATTTGAATTTGGCAACCCTTTTCTGACGAACTTGACCTTGTAATTTTTCAAATAAAATATATTTTCATACCTAAAATATTTTCCTATGACGAGTGGTAGATTTTACAAAAATAATAAATGTTCTTTGGCACGTTAAAGCTGTTTTACATTCCATATCTCAGGAATACCAAAATTTATTTCTCTGTTCTTGGACTTAAACATATAAATATAAATATTTCAAACCCTTTATCTAAAGGAAGCGTTTTCGGTGATATTAGTTCTTGTGTAGGCATCAAATGAGTTTTTACTTTAGGTCCGCCTTTAAGGATCATATCCGCAAAACTACCAGCTGAAAATATTGCCAACATTTTGACAATATCTGCTATCTGAATTCTGTACTGCAACGAAAACTTACACTTGCAATTTCTGGAAACGCATTTAATGTCAACTAGACTATAAATGAGAGATGCGAATTGTTTACCTGTATTGTAGCAGACAAGGTTTAGTTTCATTCAACCATTTTAATTAAGTCTTACATGACTTATCAGATTATTTTTTTTATACCCTCCACCATACATAGTATGGAGGGTATATTAAGTTCGTCATTCCGTTTGCAACTCATCGAAATAATCATTTTAGGACAAACAAAGTATATATATTCTTGATCAGCGTAAAATTCTAAGACGATTTAGCCCCGTCCGTCCGTCTGTCCGTCTGTTGTAATCACGCTACAGTCAAAACGAATTTAGATAGGAGCCAAAATTTTGCACAAATCTCTCTTTTGTCTACAGACAGGTCAAGTTCGAAGATGAGCATCGTATAGCCCCCATATAATGGTACCCCGATATTCGGTATTTAGATGATTTTACCCACATTTTTCAATAGAATTGTCTGAAATTCCACAAAAGGAGTCCCTTGTGAGTACTTTACTCCATGAAAAAGAATTGTCTATATGAGTCCACGATATCGTATAGCCCCCATATAACGGTACTCCCCGATGTTCGGTATTTTGACGAGTTTAGAAATTGTCTAAAATTCCACAAAAGGAATTCTGTGTGGGTATTTTACCCCCTGAAAGAGAATTGTCCATATAGGTCCACGATATCGTATATCCCCCATATAACGGTACCCCGATATTCTGTATTTTGATGATATCAGCCACATTTTCCCATGGAATTGTCTGAAATTCCACACGATGAGTTCGCTGTGAGTACTTTTTACCTTGGAAGAGAATTTTCTATATAGGTCTACGATATCGTATATCCCCCATATAACGGTACCCCCCAAAATTCGGTATTTTGACAATTTTTCGAAGGAATTGTCTGAAATTCTACACAAGAAGTTCTTTGTGAGTACTTTACCCCCAGACATAGATTTGTCTATATAGGTCCATAATATCGTATATCCCCCCATATATCGGCACCTTCCGATATTAGGTACTTTAAAGATTTTAACAGAATTTTAAATGGATTTTATTTTTTGAAAATTTTCTAATTCGTCCCAAATGGTGGAGGGTATTCATAGTTCGGCCCGGCCGAACTCACTGCTTTTTTACTTGTTATTTTTCTGTTTTCGATGATATTCTTGACTTGTATACCCTCTAACAGGCGGGAAAATAACAAAATACTTGGTCTGAAATTAATGAAAAACTCTTGCCAGCGTACGCCCATATTTAAGAACGAACTACAAAATATAAATTTGACAATGAAGGGACATAAAAGAAAAAAATGTAATTGTACCAAGGATAGCATGGTAGCATGATATTACCTGGGCAATTTTAAAAAAATCTGGCTAAAGTATAGACTATTCGAAGATACCGCAATAAAGCGATATTAGAAAATATGGATCTATTCGGGCAAGCTTTTGCCACCGGACTTTGATCCCATTGCAAACTGTAAAACCGTTAAAACTCATTACGACCTCTAAGTACTGAATCCCTAAAATAAAGAATAACAGAAGGTATCGTAGTATGGGGGCTATACGAAAACGTGAACCGACATGGGCCCATTCACGAAATGAACCTGCCTGCTGCCTAGTTGGACATGAAATTTTACGCTCATCAAGAATATATTTGTATTTTGTGTAGGGTCTAACATGAAACCAGTAAAGAAAGTCCTAAGGTCGGGCGGGGCCGATTTTATGATACCCTACACCACTTTCCTAATTTAGTTGAGCTCCACTTAATAATTAAAAGTTTTTATGGGAGAATTCAATCATACACGCTATGATTATAGTTATAATTTAAAATTCAAAGGACTAAATATGCCGAAGCATTTGTATCTTTTAAATTCGGACTTGTATTGCCCATTTGGTGCGAAATTAATTTGAAATCGGATAAAAATATATATGGGAACTATATCCAAATCTGAACCGATCTCGATAAAATTTGGCAAAGATATTTCTGAGCTGTATTTGATATATTTCCCTGAATATCGTTGATACGGAGTGCATATTAGGGCTGTGGGTAACAAATACAATAAATCGGATGAACAATATATATGGGAGCTATAACTATATCTGAACCGATCTTCACCAAATTTGGCATACTACCTTCTAGACTAAATTCGGTCGTATGTTCCATCCCATTTGGACAAATATTAGACGTTTGGTGCACAATATATATCCAAATCTGAACCGATCTCGATAAAATTTAGCAAAGGTATTTCTGAGCTGCATTTGATATATTTCCCCAAATATTGTTGTTACAGAGTGCATATTACGGCTGCGGAGGACAAAAATAACAAATCGGATGAACAATATATATGGGAGCTATAGCTATATCTGAACCGATTTCGATAAAATTTGGCATACTTATTTTCAGGCCTAATTTGGTTGTATGTGCAAAATTCCATACTATTCGGGCAGATATTACACGTTTGGTGCACAATAAAAGGCAAATCGGACGAAGATATATATGGGAGCTATATCTAAATTTTTACCGATTATTTTCAATTTCAATAGGGTTCGTCCTTGGGCCAAACAAATGTTGTTTGCAAAATTTCATCTCAATCGGATAATAAATGCGACCTGCATTTTGTTCACAAGAATACATGGACGGACGGACGGACGGACAGACGGACATAAATCAACTCAGAAAGTGATTCTATGCAGATCATCAAAAGGAACTATGGGTCTATCTCGTTTCCTTTTGCCTGTTACAAACAAATGCACAAAGACATAATACCCTGAACACCTTGTGGTGTAGGGTATAAAAATAAACTGAATTACAAACAGCGTATTCGTTTTAGAACTGGAATATCGAACTTCTTCTGAAATTGTTCACTACTGCGCCCGTAATTGTGTTTCTCAAATTAACTGACATTCATTATTTTGTTCTCGTATCGTTTCTGTGCATTATCGCCTTACGTGTGATGTGCGGCCACCAATGTCATCATCGCCATCATCATAACCACGATTTATTTTTCAACTTTTACTACCACCGTAATTTCTTTTACTACTACTACCACTACTATGCTACCACTACCACTACTACCATCACTACTACTTTGCGACATAACTTCATGTTTTACACGATTCGATATGTGGTCGACTGCTCGCGCGCCTGTGTGTGTTTCCACACAAACAAATAAAACAAAAAATAATATCACTGGAATTTGTGTAATTGGCCGCCTCCGTCCGTTTTTGCGTCCACCACTCCATGGTTTGGTACGCTGAATGGTTGTTTTGGCTCGCACCCTCGTTCGCCCGGCCATATCGTAATTTAACAATATTTTAAATGGTTTGATTGGTGACTAATGACAAATATGAACATTTACCACAAATAATACCACAATTGCACATTACGGCCAACCGCAATTTACTTTACTCACACACGCACACTCTCGTAAACGTAACGTACTGTTTTGTGCAACGCATGCATGCACCGCCGTCTCTGCGAATGTTTACTCAACCAAAGTTGTCCACTTCAATGTAGAGCTGAAGAAACGGCCACAGTCATGGGCCTCGACGCCCGACATCGACGAGGCCGATGACAAGGCACGGGCCACGCCCCGTTCCAGTGGCAAGCCGGCAGCGGCCGCTGATGACAACGAGGTCAACGTCACCATCAAATTGCCGGTTCCACAGAGGCGTCACACGACAACGTTGGATCTGAAGGAGGTGAGTAACGTTGTCCCTAAACTGTGCTCCCAATCTTAAATCAATTTTCCAGGTGGAAAATTCATTGCTTCAAAGTTCGGCATCGACACCGTCTTCATCTTCGAAAAATATTCCGGAGGATTTGGTAATTTTGTCGACCGATAGTTTGGCCGAAAGGGTGAGGAAAATGAATCTGTTGAAAAAACAGAGGAGTCAAAATTCCCGAGAGTCGAGTCGTGAACGGTCGGTGCCACGAAAGAACGAAGGGTGGGTATTGACATTTTAAACTTGAAAATTTCTTATTGAGCGTTTTCATTGGATTTCCTTTACAGGGAAAGCAGCAATGAAAATGGAGAAAGCAAAGCACCCCCAGATCGACCTGAACGCACAAAATCCTTGTCGTCAGCAAGTGCCGGTGCCAGTAACAGCAGCAGTAGCAGTGCAACAAAAAATGCGGCTTTGCCCCCTAAGAAGGTTTCCTCCTCGTCCAGTTCAACGACATCATCCACATCGACTGCACGCCCAACATCGGCTCCAGCTTTTGATTCAAAATCCGCCTTACCGCCAGTACCTGCCAAAGCAACTCCCACCAAACTAAAGACTACCTCGTCGTCCTCCACTACAACATCCACATCTACAGCTTCGGCAACAACATCGTCGTCGTCTTCGGCCGCACGCCGAAAGGAGGCCGATCGACAAAAACTGCTCAGGATATAGCGTTCATGCTCAACATAAAAGATAACAGCTACCAAGGCAAGAAGCCCAGCAACGACAACATGTCGATGATGACCGAAAGTCCAGAGATGCACGACACCCAGGATGAGCTAAAGAATCTGCGCAAGGAACTGGAAGCCATGAAACAACGCGCCGAAAAGGCCGAAAGGGAAAAGAGCGACATTTTGTTAAGACGCCTGGCTTCAATTGACATGGCTCCAAACCGCACTGCCGCCTCCGAAGCCCTGATGCTGCAGCAGAAAGTCAACGAACTTAAGGAACAGCTGGAAAAAGTTACCGAGGAGAAGCGAAAACTGAATACCCGCATGAAAGAGCTGGAGAATAATCCGAAGAGCGCCGAGAATGAGTTACGTCGAAAATTGCAGGCTGCCGAACAAATATGCGAAGAGCTGATGGAAGAGAACCAGGAGGCCAAGAAAGAGATAATGAACCTGCAAGCCGAAATGGATGAACTGCAGGACACATTCCGTGAGGATGATGTCAAGGCAAAAACCAATTTGCAAAAGGACCTCGAAAAGACGACAAAGAATTGCCGCATACTGAGCTTCAAGTTGAAAAAGTGTGAGCGCAAAATTGAATCGCTGGAGTTGGAACGTCAGAACAGCGGCAATGCTGAACTGCAGGCTCGAATCAAGCAATTGGAAGACGAGTTGCGTTTCTCGCAGGAATTGTCGAAGAAATTACAGGTAATAGTTGGGTTGTTTGAGGTGGTATTGGGGTGTTGTAATCTTGATGGTTCTCTTATTGCTTGCAGTCTGAAGCGGAAGAACTACGAAATCCAGGTAAGAAGAAGGCTCCAATGCTGGGAGCCTTGGGAAAATCAACATCTGCCGATGCCAGATTCACCAGGGAGTCGCTGACCCGAGGTGGATCCCAAGAGGATCCTCAACAGTTGATGCGAGATCTACAGGACTCGGTAGAACGGGAATCCGATCTGAAGGATCAGCTGAAATTTGCCGAAGAAGAAGTAAGTGCAATTGATATGGTCAAATTGGGTCAGATCAAGTGCAGATTGATATGTTCTATATGAATCTATCTCCCACGGCTCCATATTAAGTAGGGAGAATATATCCAACTTAAGTCTTGTAGTACTCTTTATAGTCGCTTTACAGTGGCATAGAAAATGTTCCAACACCTCATTTTCAGTTGTTCGCCCCCATTAGGGTTCGTTCATAGGATCTTTGTGTTTTCCCTCGCCGAACTTGCTGTTACCTGTATTATTCTACCATGACTATAAAGCAGGGGTAGGCCAAGAGTATCCCATGCGATATCTGTGTGTTCATCAACACAATTGTCAAATTGGTTTTAGGAGAATATTTAGTTTTGTTCGAGCAGTGGATGAGGAAGGTGCTGTTGGATATTTTTATGAATACACCGTTAGAAATATTGGAACACATAAATATATCTTACTACATATTTGAAACAAATATTTCCGAAATTGTAAAAATTACAACTGTTAAGATTATCTTGTTCGATTGAATTCTATTTGACAGAATTTGTATACGAATTCACATTTTAGGAATATAAATTCATTTCATATTGATCGACAAATTTTTTGTCCTTCCAAATTAGAGACATGTTCATATCCCTTGATTTCTATGAAATGATATATACGTTCTTGGTCAATATTGAGAAAAATAACAGGATGTGATGTTTGTCATTCTGTTTGTGATTCATAGAAATAATCTTTTAGGACCCAACCCAGGATATGAATTTTTGATCAGAGTAAAATTCTACGACTATATGTGTAGACTGGGATCAATTAAAAGACACAAAGTCTTTTCCGTTTGAGCGTTTGTAAGACACTGAATTTATTTATTAAAAACATTTCTTAAGAACTAGTTGTGATAATATGACTTAACCTAAATTATAACTAAGTGTAAATGAGAGAGAGAGAGATAGATACCAACCGTACACATGCATATGCACCATGCCACCATAAACCTTAGGGGGAGGTCATACACACGCATAGCTATCTCACATGTGGCAAGCAAACATGCTGCACTTGCTTATCAGTCTGAGTAAAGATTACGTCCCATAATCTAACTCCACCATAACACATGCAGCAATTGAAAATTCTGTATTATTTATTTCTAACTCGAAGGTCTGCTCACCACATTTTCTTATCTTATTTTATGTGGACTGTATTAAGAAGATCCCAGTTTAACAAATCCCTCTCATCTACACTAGGTAGCCCCGCTATTCTCTTTTATTATAAAAACATGTTCACTTATCCGTGAACATTCTTGGCAGGGGCAAAAATACATATAAAATATAAAAATTACAAATATGAACAATAAAATAGATCTAATAGAAGTGACATTTTAAGAGAAAACAAGTTAAGTTATAACACCCAAGTAACTCCTCCATCTTTCCAGCCTGGCTCTCTTGAACATCCCTCCTCCTTTATCTGCCGGCTTCAATTTCCAAGCCGAATCCTTTTTATCTGTCGTCTTCTTTCTGTAGCCAAAGTTTCCATCCTTCTCTGGAAGCGCCGTCTGACCGACCTTGGACAGTTTATCGTTCCAGCGTTCATAATTTTCTGTCACCTCGGCTTGTATTTTATTCGCTGCACCACTTCCACTAGGCATCTTCATCACAACTTGACCGTCTTCCAGCATTTTATTATTCCAGCGACGCATATTGCTTTTCTTCTTAGTTTTCATCTCGCTGGCAAACAGTTTATCTTCGACTTCTTCCAATCTCCCTGTGTCCAGTTTTCCAGAGACCTGTTCATCTACCTTTTCCAAAGTTGATTCCTTTTTGGCAATTGGGTCTTCCATATAAACCTCTTCAACCATCATTTCTTCGTTGATATTGACCACTAATTTTGCAGCCAATTCATCAGCCTCGATTTTGGATGTTTTCTGCGATATGAGCAACTCTTCCTTAAGTTGCAATATTTCAGCCTCCAGCAGAAATGTCCTTCTTTCTTTTTCTTTACCAGCTTCTAGATTTGCAGCCAACTCGTCACGTTCGGTTGCAGCTGCAAGTCGTTCTCTTTTTGCACAAGACAACTCATCACTAAGTTGTCTTATTACCGCCTTCAACGCATTGCCCTCGCGTTCTGCCTCCTGGTTAGCCGCTCGTAATTTGTCCTTAGTATCCTCGGCTACACACACAGCATTTTCGACTTCCTCCTTCAATTTGGAGACAAGTTTGAGGGCATCTTCTTTTTCATCTTTCTGTGAAATCAAGGCAAACTCCATTTCCTTAATATCACCTTCCATTTTTCTCATTACGGCTACCGCTGCTTCGCGCCCCTCTCGCTCGCTGTCCAATTCGGATGTTATGTAGGCCACTTTTTTCTTCAAGCCAAGGAGTTTCTCTTTGGTCTCCACATTAAGAGCCTGCGTGACTTTAAGGATGACCTTAACATCTTCCAAATACAGCCTCGCTGTCCCATTCGGCTGACTTGCTCTGATAGCAGCGGCTAGTTTGGACTTCTTTAGAAGCATCTCTAAAAACCGCCTATGAACGACTGGATACAATATTATGTCTCTTGCCGCGTCCATAATTTTTTCTTTGGCGAAGTCAAATACGCCTTCTATGGCTTCTTCCGTCTTTAAGGTACTCATTATTTCCATAATGGTACCCATCATTTCGAGAAGAATGGCAACATCTTCCTTTATTTTCATCATTGGCGGCCGTTTCACCGATTCGTCCTCCTGGGCATATGCATCATCCCTTCTTTCTGAAGATTTCAAATATGAAGCCCCCTCGGTTTGCACCGCCACCACAGTCTTCTGTGCTGAAGTCTCCTTCTGACTCAGCATCCTTTTATTTGGCTTATAAATTTCTTCTGTATGGGAACAATTCCAGCTGTAGTTTTAGCTCGGTAATTTTCCACTCTTGAAGACCAATTTTAGCCTGATAGAATTTCCTCGATGTTAAGGCAAATTCTTCAACATTTATCCTCTACCGATCCGGCTCGGTGGACCAATGTAAATTGGGATCAATTAAAAGACCAAACGTCTTTTCTGTTTGAGCGTTTGTAAGACACTAAATTTATTTATTAAAAATATTTCTTAAGAACTAGTTGTGATAATATGACTTAACCTAAATTATAATTAAGTGTAAATGAGAGAGAGAGAAAGAGATAGATACCAACCGTACACATGCATATGCACCATGCCACCATAAACCTTAGGGGGAGGTCATACACACGCATAGCTATCTCACATGTGGCAAGCAAACAAGCTGCACTTGCTTATCATTCTGAGTAAAGATTACATCCCATAATCTAACTCCACCATAACACATGCAGCAATTGAAAATTCTGTATTATTTATTTCTAACTCGAAGGTCTGCTCACCACATTTTCTTATCTTATTTCATGTGGACTGTATTAAGAAGATCCCAATTTAACAAATCCCTCTCATCTACACTAGGTAGCCCCGCTATTTTCTTTTATTATAAAAACATGTTCACTTATCCGTGAACAATATGCATATGTCTGTATGTCAGCCTGTGGTAATAGGTATTACTTTTTAAAGGGTCAACTTTAATGGTAGTTAGATGGTTAACATCAAAATTATGTTTACTTAACTTAACTTATATTATGTTAACTTATAAGTACATGTATATAATTTTTTTATACCCTCCACCGTAATATGGAGGGTATATTAAGTTTGTCATTCCGAATATACATTTTAGACCCGACAAAGTATATATATCATGATCAGCATCAAATTCTATTTCGATTTAGCGATGACCGTCCGTCTGTAGAAATTACTCTAGCTTCCGAACGAAATGAAGTAGATTAATAAAATTTTACTCAAATGTATATTAAGTCTGCAGGACTTTTGGTATTTAAAATGGGCTATGTAGGTCCACGTTTTGGTATTGTCCCATATAACGGTACATCCCGATATTCGGTATTTTTATGATTTTAGTTACATTATTCACCGATTTTTATACCCTCCACCAAAAAAGGTATGGAGGGTGTATTAAGTTCGTCATTCCGTTTGTAACTCATCGAAATAATCATTTTAGACCCAACAAAGTATATATATTCTTGATCAGCGTAAAATTCTAAGACGATTTAGCCCCGTCCGTCCGTCTGTCCATCTGTTGTAATCACGCTACAGTCTAAACGAATTAAGATAGGAAGCTAAAATTTTGCACAGATCCGTCTTTTGTCTGCAGGCAGGTCAAGTTCGAAGATGGGCTATATCGGTCCACGATATCGTATAGCCCCCATATAACGGTACCCCCGATATTCGGTATTTTGATGATTTTAGCCACATTTTTCAACGAAATTGTCTGATAATCCACACAAGGAGTTCCTTGTGGGTACTTTATCTAGTAGAAGAGAATTATCTATATAGGTCCACTATATCGTATAGCCCCCATATAACGGTTCCCCTGATATTTGGTATTTTGATGATTTTATCCACATTTTTCAATGGAATTGTCTAAAATTCCACAAAAGGAGTCCCTTGTGGGCATTTTGACCCCCTCAAAAAGAATTGTCTGTACAGGTCCAGGATATCGTATATCCCCCACATAACGGTACCCCCCGATATTCGGTATTTTGATGATTTTACCCACATCTTTCAACGGAAGTGTCTTAAAATCTACACAAGGAGTTCCTTGTAGGTACTTTATATATATTATAGGTCCACAATATCGTATAGCCCCCATATAACGGTACCCCCGATATTCGGTATTTTGATGATTTTATCCACATTTTTCAATGGAATTGTCTGAAATTCCACACAAGTAGTTCCTTGTGAGTACTTCACCGCCTGAGAGGGAATTGTCTATGTAGGTCCACGATATCGTATATCCCCTATATAACGGTACCCCCCGATATTCGGTATTTTGATGATTTTACCCACATTTTTCATCGGAATTGTCTGAAAATCCACACAAGGAGTTCCTTGTGGGTACTTTATACCTCGGCAGATAATTATCTATAAAGGTCCACGATATCGTATAGCCCTCATATAACGGTACCTTCTGATATTCGGTATTTTGATGATTTCAGCCACATTTTTCAACGGAATTGTCTGAAATTCCACACGAGGGGTTCCTTGTGGGTACTTTATCCTCGTCAGAGAATTATCTATATAGGTCCACAATATCGTATAGCCTCCATATAACGGTACCCCCGATATTTGGTATTTTGATGATTTTATCCACTTTTTTAATGGAATTGTCTGAAATTCCACAAAAGGAGTCCCTTGTGGACATTTTACCCCCTCAAAAAGAATTGTCTATATAGGTCCACGATATCGTATATCCCCCATTTAACTGTACCCCCCGATATTCGGTATTTTGATGATGTTAGCCACATTTCCCAATGGAATTATCTGAAAATCCACACAAGGAGTTCCCTGTGAGTACTTTATCCCCCCATATATCGGCACCTTCCGATATTAGGTATTTTAAAGATTTTAACAGAATTTTCAATGGATTTTATTTTTGTGAATATTTTCTAATTCGTTCCAAATGGTGGAGAGTATTCGAAGTTCGGCCCGGTCGAACTTACTGCTTTTTTACTTGTTTTTATTCAAGTTTCGCATTTGAATATTGTAATGGTTTATGACAAAACTTTCCAAATTTCGGCCAGGCCGAACATACAGCTCTTTTACTTGTTTTATTTAAAAATGAATCATAATTGAAATAATTGTGCAAATATATTTCCGATTTGTCTGATCAAAATATTAATTTTTACCAACGAAGTTGTTTTGAAAATAGAAACTTTAAAGACAACTAATTATTTCTTTCTCATTCATTTAATATTTTTAGATAAATTTATTGTCCTTCCAAATTAGTGGACATTTTCATATACCTTGATTTCTCTGAAATGATATATACGTTCTTAGTCAATATTAGGAAAAAGAACAGGATCTGATGTTTGTCATTCTGTTTGTAATTCATAGAAATAATATTTTAGGGCCGAACGCAGGATATGAGTTTTTGATCAGCATAAAATTACGACTATTTAGAATTTTATTTACTATTGAAAACAGAAAATTTTAAATTGGAAATTTAAAAAAAATAACAAATTATTTCTCACTCTGTAAAGAGAGGCAACAAAACACTTGCAATATTTTGTTATTTCAAAACACATACAATCACAAAAAATTTTTGAGGCTCTCTGCCCAGCCCTGATATACAATCACAAAAAAATTGAGGCTCTCTGCCGAAATACACCGCAAGAAATATTGGAGTACATAAATATAATTACTACATATTTAAAACAAATATTTCCGAAATTGTAAAAATAACAGCTGCTAAGATTTATATTTAAAATGAAACATAATTAAAATAACTGTGCAAATATATCTCCGAATTGTCGGATCAAAATATTAATTTTTAACAACGAAGTTGTTTTTAAAACGGAAAATTTTAAATTGAAAATTTAAGGATAACCAATTATTTCTCACTCAGTAAAGAGAGACAAAAAAAAAACACTTGCAATATTTTGTTATTTCAAAACATATACAATCACAAGAAATTTTTGAGGCTCTCTGCCTTGCCCTGCTTTACATATTGTTTGCGTGGCAATGTTGAAAAAAGAAGAACGGTTGGAGAAAAATAAAAACACAATTAATTAATATTTTCTCCAGAACAGCACTGAACTGTATTTGTTACTGATGATTGTTCGTGGAACAATATTACCTTCGTACAAAGGAGTTTTAGACATAGGACGTAGTCCTATGCTTGCTAGTACTCGTAAAGTTGGTAGAACTCTGAAAAGGTGGCAATTGCAAAACGTCTCTCCTTAAGAAATGACATTCATTACCTTTGACATTATGTACGAAGTAAAATGGTAGTAGACATTACCTAAGGAGGAGAAAAATCGACAATGATGAAATGATGTTTGCAATTAAACATATAAGAATTCAATATTATGTATATATTCGTCTTTAATCTACTATAGGGGTGGACAAGCATGTTATCATCGTTCGCTCAGGAAATTCTATGTGGGGGAATTATGTAGTTTTTTTTCGTAATTATGGTTCGAAAAACGAGTAGAGAGAGAGAGAGAGAGAATCAAGTTTCGTGAAAACATCATCATCGTCGATGACATAACAATCTGCACTTAGGTTATTCAAACACCATTTACATTTTCCTTCCAATAAAATAATGTTCTACAATGGAAAGTTGCACAGACTGAGAGTTAAGCAGAAAAAATCGCTAACACATCAAGGCGTACAAACCGAAGATTTAGTTGACGACATTTTGAAATTTCCAAGGTCAACACAAACGGATAATTTTGTTGAGCAAATTTCGTCATTTACACAAACGGATGTTTTCAATTTTCGCGAAGGCGATTCACAAACCGACAGCACTGCCAGTGCTGATGATAAGGCCACACAGACGATGTGTGGTTTTGGAACTACCGATACCGAGAGTCCGACCTCAGAAGTACCGAACGAAAATTATGAGGAAATAACAGAGGAAGTTATATGCCAAGTCGTCGATGCCCAAACACAGACGCAGGAACCTCCCGCTGCAGCCGCATGGGAAAACACCGATGCCACCACCAATATATCTGCAATATTTAAGAGTATTCAAGATCGTGAACGATCACCATTTGCTGCTACTCTGACGACAGTGTCCACTATGGCGACTCCCTCCTCATTGTTGTTTCCCAGCATGATCTCGCATGCTCTAAGAGCGGGCGCTGGGGCAGGTACATCATTCAATCTCAAATTACCATTTAGACCAGTAGCAGCGTTCTGTAGTGAAACTTTCGTTGTTGATTTTATTATTTTACGTTGGACACGACTAATCCTGTTGGCAATGTCATTTGAAACTATTTGTCGATTGTCCTGCATTCCATTCGATTTGGGACTTTCAAAATTCTGTACATCTGTTGCCCATGTTAACTGTATTTGGCTAAAATATTGTTTCATTTTGTTAATATTTGCAGGCTGAAAATTTGAGGAAAAAGTTGCCCGCATGGAGGATGAAAATGATTCTCTAATGATGCAGTTGAAAAAAATGGCAACACGTTCTCGAAGTATGTTAAATTGTAGTTAAAGTTGCTGTTCTTGTTGTCTTTTTATATGAAAACGCATTCGATGGACGATTGACTGGTCGAGAGGGAGAGGAAAAGGGGCCTTCCAATTGGTCAGCCCTGAGGACCGCATCTGAGTTGGAAAATAGCAGTGAGAATAACATGTCCGCATTGCTGTTACTTGCTGAGATGCTGTTCTTCAGTGTGCTACGTGAAGGGCATTCCCTCTCCCCTCTTGTCACTATTTGTTTATTATTATTTTGTTCACTAACCTAACAATAAACCTGCTCATTCCCTGCATCCTGCATACCCCCCGCCCTTAGATGTATATAAGTATATATGTATGTTCACTCACTTCTACTAAATTTGTCTTATTGCCATTTTTTACAGCTGCTCATCAAACAATGAAATTGGTTGTTAAAAAAATTGAACTCATTTTCCTCTAAACTCTACTACATCATTCATAGTTTTACAGTTACTGTTCTTGTTTGTGCATGCAGTTTTTATTGATGTGATTTTTTTTTTTTTGGTACTAATGCTAACTTTGACATCTCACACAGCTCGGAAGCTTAGTCCCACGCCACGGCGCTTGGCACCTGAGGTACAAGCGGAACGTGACGAAGGCATATCGGATGAAGATGACCCGGCTGAGTTACGTATTTTACTGGAGCTGAACGAACAGGAGGCCTCTATACTGCGGCAAAAGGTAGAAGACTTGGAGAAGCAGAATACAGAAGCCAAGAAACAGGTGCGGGAACTTCAGGAGAAACTGGCTGCGTCACCAACGGACAAAAAATCAGGCTTCTTATCGGCATCTAATAGCTCGGATAAGAAACTGAAGGCACTGAACGATGAATTGGAGACGTTGCGAAAGTCGCTAGCCGAAAAAGATAAACAGATTGAACGCTTGCAGTCTTCTTCCTCGTCACAGTCTAACTTCAATGTTAAGCGTCAATTGGATATGGTCGAACAGGAAGCCACGGTGCTGCGATCGAAGATAACTGCCCTTGAAGCCGAGAATGAACGTATCCAGAAGGAGAACAAACGATTGCAGTTGTTGTCGCTGAAGAAATCTCCTTCAACTGACTCTGGGGAGCTGGCGAAACTTAAGCAGGCCCTTGCTGCGGTCGAAGAACAAAAGAATGGCCTGGAGACCAAACTCAAGCGCATTCTACAAGAAACGGAGACAAAACTGCCACCCAGACTGGAAATTCGCGTAACCGATCTAACGCCGAAAAACCAGCTGAAAAAATGGGTTGAAGAGCTGGACGATGAAATAACCGAATTAAGAGCCCTTGTTGCCAACAGCAGTGCTCTGAGTCTGAAGAATTTGCAGGCGGAGAAGAAGTCATTGGAGGATGAGTTGAGTAAATACAAGGCCAAACTAACTCAAGTGGAAAACGATTTGCGTAAGTAGACTACCGGAATGAAGATTTTAATTAGGCGTGCGTAATTCGGACTTTTGGTATTGAAAAGTCTCAAAGTCGAAATTGATCATTGATCCTCGTAAAAATCACAAAGTTCATTTTTAGATTGTGCGATTATCTATTTTTATGCCAGCCAAAAAGTCTGCAACGACTAACGAGCTTGTAGTTTTCACTTACAACTCGAGAAAAGTTGTCGCTAATGCTAAGTTCACATGACACGTGATTCGCTCTCTATTCCTTGTTCGACCATTAATTAAGAAAAATCTACTTAATTCCCCACACAAAATTTGCTGAGCGAACAAAGATTTTTGTTCTTTGTTCCATTCAAATCACTCTCAGAACAAAGATGAAATGTGTGCCATCCCTAATAAATGAGAGCATTTATCGAAAAAATAAATTGTGACATTTAAAAATAGAAAAATTTAATGAAATTTCAAACATTTTTAGGAAGTGAATGAGAAAAGAAAACCAACCGAATGGTTTGGCCGTTGTTGCCTAAACGCAGCCACACATTTATTCTTATCTATTCTAATACTGGAACGCCCGAAACTCTCGTTCCATTATTTCTATATCGCACTCGAATATATTTAATGTCCCAGGATTTTCTCCTGGCGCTGTTGTATTGTCTCGATCCTCTTCTTGGAACTTTTGATTTTGGAACTCCTTTTCCATTTTTTGCTTTTTTATATTTTTGTATATTTTGCTTCTTTGTTTTTTTTTCTTTTTTTTTGATACTGACTTCTTGGTTTTTTTAATTTATTTATTTATTATTTTTTTTAAATTTTTTTCTTTTTTAATTGGGACTTTTGGTGTCCTCTTTTAAAAATTGTATGTTTTTTTTTGGGACTTGTTGTCCTCTTTTAGCTATTTTTTTTAATTTGCCCCGTGGGTCTTTTTTGTTTTTTTTTCTTGCTCCTATTTTTGCCCGTTGGGTCTTTTTTTATTTTTGCCTTTATGGCTTTTTTATTTTTGCACTATGGCTTTTTTAATTAAATTTATTCACTTGGACTATTTTTTTAAAATGCCCTACGGTCTTACATTTAAAATGTCTCAGCTAACTTTTTGGTAGCAGTTCTTCTCCTTTTTGAAGAACAGCTACTTCTTTTTTGGCTTTTCTGAGTTTCTTACCACTGGTGGGGGATAACTCAAACCAATTTTATTTTAGGTCGTCGATTCTTTATTTTTCGAAGGATCAATGAATGAGAAAAAAAAAAACCAACCGAATTGTTTGGCTGTTGATTCAATTCTGATTTTATTTAAAAATATGTTTCTGTAGTGCTACAAAAACTAATCTAACTTAACCTAAACGTAGCCATTCTATCTCATATCTATTCTAATACTGAATGGAGAACATTGCACGGCTGCTTGTTATTTCATTCAAGTGGTCTTGTGCATCTACTGAGCGCATCGATATATGTGCGTGTGGGTCATAACCTTTATTATCTCACACATTATCGTATGCGTCAGCGCACAAGATCACCGAATTGTTCACAGTGGTGTTTTATGGCGGCTGGGAAATATGTAATTTTAGAGTATTTATATTTTATTGCTAGATTTTCCCAGCGCCTAAACCACACTCAAAAGTATGTACAAAGTACTTTGTACAGGAAGACTAAAAATTATGAATGCAAACTACAATAATGAATGGCGTATGTACATTCAAACGTAAGTAAATTTTGTTTTCTCATCCGAGGTGGGCATTTTGTCCACGGGTTGAAATTTCCACAGAAAACTGGAAACAAAAAAGGCAATATTTCCAAAATGTTTATATTGGCAGAAAAAATGTTTGAGAGGTGTCTCTCCAGCAGAATTTAAAAATAGAAAAATACAAAAATATAGTTCAAAATGTCAACATTTACACAAAAAGTTGAAAACATGAATGCAAATTCTAAAATAAATGATATAATAAATCTTTGAGAGAAAAACAATAATTTCTTCTATTCATATTAGTGAGAAATTCATGTATTTTCGTATAAATTCCCATTAAAATCTGCAAACAAAATTTTTGAAGAAGGGAATTATTTTACTATGAATTACGAATCGTGCCGTATGAACGGGTGTATGAATCGTGTACCTAATTCTGAGAGCGAACAACTTGATTGAAAGTGCAATGAGAACATAGCATAACTTTTATTGTACTTTTTTCATGAAAATATTAGTTGTGTTCCAGTACTTTTTTAGTAGTAAAACTAGCAGAAGAGAGAACAGTTCGAAATGTCATTCTCAATTAGGTGTGCTCAAAAAATAAGGGAACGGAAAATTAGCAGAAATGCGATAAAATGTCAAAATTCCAAGAGTAAACAGTCCAAATCGGACTGGTGAAACCTTACTGAAACGGACGCCAAAATTTAAAAAAATTAGTATTGAAGACGATACGTTAAAATTAATAATCTATAATAATAATTAATAATCTGATTCATCATTCAGCCAGTCCTCTTCCCTACTGGAATCATCCAAAAGTGCCCCATATTTTTTTTTTTAGTTTTTTTGCACTACAAATATTAGTTTTTCCTTTAGTTGATCATTTCTTTATTTTTGTTATGACGCGGGAACATTGAAATGTATCAACACATTTTTCAACCTTGTTAGCCCTGCCAATTAAATGTCAAATTCACAATTTGCACATTTCTGCTCGGCCAAATTCATGTAGCTAAAACAAGCAGAAATGTGCACCACTCAGCGCCATTTTTTTCTCGAGAGAGCTGCAAGTTTTGCTAGTTTTTTGAGTACGGGAACGCGTTGTAGCAAAATTAGTACTAATTAGTACTAATTTGTAGGTTCTGGAACACAACTATTGTGATTGAAAGTTATTAATTTTTCCGATAACGGCAAAAATTTTAGAGAATCGCACTACAGATCAAAAAAATCAAAATCAATTTGTAACTAATTGCAAACAATTAATAGGCCAAAAAAATCGGACAATTCGAATAGTTTCTATTCAATCCTGTTCAGATAAAAGTTGACTGGAATTCTATTTTCATATTTATGGTTTTCATTTTAGAAAAATCCAAGACTTCATCGACACCCAAGGTTTCGGAATTGGAAAAGCAAATTAAGAAACTGAGGATGAGATTAAACAATCCAATTCGAAGATTAAAGATCTGGAGGAGAAGTTAAAGAAACAGGAGAACTTGGTAAGCCACCCAACAAATGACAATTTTACCCAACGTGTTAGATATTTGTATTTAGCATTCTTAGAGTAAACCTTAAAAGGCTCAAGTTTTAAACCACAAAAAAAGTTTTGGAGTGTTGAATAAATTAATAATAATACTTATGATAAACTAATAACAAAATGGTATAAACTAGAAACAATAAATTTGTAAAATAAGAAGTAAATTCGAAAAACCTTTGGGATAGCATTTGATCGCAGAATTTGGATGTCCTGAAAATATGTATGTTTATGTAAATTCCCTATATATTTTTGGCAGAATTCTAGATAGGCTGCTTTCAAACCAAACCAACAACAAAAACTGTGTTGGCAAAAGCTGTAAGTTCGGCCGGGCCGAACTTTTAGTACCCTCCACCATTTGGTACAAATTTGGCAATTTCCAAAAAAAAAAAAAAAAAAAAATAAAATAAATAAATAAATAAATAAAATAAAATAAATCCTTTAAAAATTCTGTTAAAATCTTAAGAATTCCGAATGCATATACGACAACGTGGACCTGCATAGGCAACTTTTGTCATAAGTTATTACAATATTTTAATGCGAAACATGAAGAAAAATCTGTTTATAATGTAGCTAAAATCATCAAAATACCGAATATAGGGGGTACCGTTATATGGGGGCTATACGAAGACGTGGACCTGCACAGACAATTTTCTGGCATGGGCTGAAGTATCCATTACGAACTTCAAATGCGAAATTTAAAACAATCCCGGTAAATAATGTCGCTAAAATCATCAAAATACCGAATATCGGGGGGTACGGTATATGGGGGCTATACGAAGATGTGGACCTACATGGCCCATTTTCTGTTTTCTGCTGCAGTATCTATTACGAAATTCAAATACCAAATTTGGAACGGTTCCGTTAAATAATGTCGCTAAAATCATCAAAATACCGAATATCGGGGGGTACCGTTATATGGGGGCTATACGAAGAAGTGGACCTGCACAGATATTTTCTGTCTTAGGCTGTAGTATCCATTACGAACTTCAAATGCCAAATTTGAAACAATTCCGGTGAATAATGTCGCTAAAATCATCAAAATACCGAATATCGAGAGGTACCGTTATATGGGGGCTATATGAAAACTTGGACCTACATGACCCATTTACGAACTTAACCTGCCTACTGGCAAAATATACATGTGTGCAAAATTTTAGCTTTCTATCTCAATTTGTTCGAAAGATAGCGTGATTACAACAGACAGACAGACAGACAGACGGACAGACAGACAGACACACAGACAGACAGACGGACATGGCTAGGTCGTCTTAGAATTTTATGCTGATCAAGAATATATATACTTTGTTGGGTCTGACGTGAGTATTTCGAGGAGTTACAAACGGAATGACAAAATTAAAATACCCTCCATAGTATGGTGGAGGGTATAATAACAACATGACAAAAAACGTTTTTACCCAAGTGACGAGATCGTACCAAAAGATCGAGGAACCAACCAATTAAATTAAACTAAAATTCTTTTGGAAAAACTACCAAATCTTACAAGCGCACTTATAACATTTTCGTCTCTCTCCACTTGTTATGAACGAAATAGCATAACCATGTAAGTTGGTTTTGGCTGTTACCACAAAACCCCCCTTCGTCGTCCGTCCTTGTCTATTGATAGAACAGTGTTGGCATGGCTCAATAAGAAAGGTTGCTCAACTTCAAAGAAACTAGAAAGATGCAACTCAATTAGACTTTTAAATATGCAACAGTTGGTTTTGCTTATTTGTTAACAAAATTCTTTTATTGGGGAAAACCCACGAAACAAGAGTATAATTTTGGGGGTTATTCCACATGATTGAATCTAAAATATCCCAAAATGTTACAATGTGTTATTGTCACCCTGTATCAACGTCGAAAATATGCATATTTTGAAATAATTTGAAATAATTGTATTTTTTATTAAAAAAACACATACACAAAAGGTGTATATGTTTTGACAGAATAAGGGCACTAAAAGAAACAAGTAAAAAAGCTGTAAGTTCGGCCGGGCCGAACTTTTAATACCCTCCACCATTTGGTACAAATTTGGCATTTTCTAATAAATAAAATCCGTTAAAAATTCTGTTAAAATCTTAAGAATACCGAATGCTTATACGACGACGTGGGCCAGCATAGGCAACTTTTGTCATAAGTTATTACACTATTTAAATGCGAAACTTGAAGAAAAATCTGTTTATAATCTAGCTAATATCATTAAAATACCGAACATGGGGGATACCGTTATATGGGGGCTATACGAAGACATGGACCTGCACAGACAATTTTCTGGCATGGGCTGAAGTATCCATTCCGAAATTCACATGCGAAATTTGAAACAATCCCGGTAAATAATGTCGCTAAAATCATCAAAATACCGAATATCGGGGGGTACGGTATATGGGGGCTATATGAAGACGTGGACCTATATGGCCCATTTTCTGTTTTATGCTGCAGTATCTATTACGAACTTCAAACACCAAATTTGGAACGATTTCGCTGAATAATTTCGCTAAAATCATCAAAATACCGAATATCGGGGGGTACCGTTATATGGGGGCTATATGAAGAAGTGGACCTACATGGCTTATTTTTTGACTTAGGATGTAGTGTCCATTACGAAGTTCAAATACCAAATTTGAAATGATTCCGATAAACAATGTCGCAAAAATCATAAAAATACCGAATACCGGGGGTACCGTTATATGGGGGCTACACGAAGACATGGACCTGCACAGATAATTTTCTGTTTTAGGCTGTAGTATTCAATACGAACTTCAAATGCCAAATTTGAAACAATTCCGGCGAATAATGTCGCTAAAATCATAAAAATACTGAATATCGGGAGGTACAGTTATATGGGGGCTATATGATAACTTGGACCTACATGGCCCATTTACGAACTTAACCTGCCTACTGGCAAAATATACATGTGTGCAAAATTTTAGCCTTCTATCTCAATTTGTTCGAAAGATAGCGTGATTACAACAGACAGACAGACAGACAGACAGACAGACAGACAGACAGACGGACAGACAGACAGACAGACACACACACAGACAGACAGACGGACATTGCTAAATCGTCTTAGAATTTTACGCTGATCAAGAATATATATACTTTGTTGGGTCTGACATGAGTATTTCGAGGAGTTACAAACGGAATGACAAAATTAATATACCCTCCATAGTATGGTGGAGGGTATAAAAAGATTGTATTTAGGGGGTAGCTTCCCAACATACCAAAAATACAATACAGCTTGAGAATAATATTATAAAATTATAATTTTTCAACAATGCTTGAGAAACACTTATGTTCCACAAACTTTTCTCAAATCTGTCTTTAGTTGACAAACTAGTTTTGATTTTTTGTGAAAATTGTCAGCAAAAAATGGTTTTCTTTGATAAAAAGCAAAATACGCGAATTTAGGACCCATTTCTGGACCGAATTCGTAGGGTATGGGTGAATAATAAATCCGGGAATCTGCGATATATATTATTTCAATCCCATTTCAGATTGGAGACATCAAAAAAGTTGCAGGAATTCAATAGATGTGTAGTCTTAGTGGAAGATATGCAGAAGCTGAAATAAGGGAGAAGAAAGCGTCAGGGTATCAAGGCCACACGAGGCAGTTACTATTGGGATGTCCATCAAGAAAAAACTGTATAAAATGATTAAAAATTAAAAAAATAATATTTTATATTATTACAAAAATAAGCTTAATATAATATTATTTTCTTAAGCTTATTCTACAATTTCAAGTATAAGCTTATAAATAAGGGTTCCATTCCGATTATTCTATACTTGTTACACAAACATTTTTCAAAGTTTTCTCAAGCATAGGGTTTACGTTCATAAACTTATTGTAATATTATTCTCAAGCCATTTTGTTCTACCTTCTGTAATTGTGTTTGTTCGGAATACCGTAGTATTTTGTTGTTACAAAATAGTCAGGCTTAATCCCATTATTGTTGTTTTTATAAAAAAAATCAAGAATAAAAAAAGCTTACATTTGCTACAAAACTTAACTGTTTTTCCGTTCGTCAAAATTTAGGAACGAACGAAAAATAATGCCGCAAATAAAAACAGGTTGTTTGTTAAAGAAAAGTATACCATAAAAATGCTAAGTATAATTGCAGAGAAGTCAGATTTTCACTTTAACATGATGTGTAAACTAGTCATTTGATTTTTTTACTAATTCCTTGTCTATTCTAGCTAAAACAAACCGAGTCAAATAAACTTAGCCTGGAGCAGCAAATGAAGTTGGACAAGGAGAAACTTTCAAAATTGGAAAAAGACTGTGAAAAGGAACGAAAGGATCGCGAAAAACTTGAGGCCAAATTATCGCAAAAGGACAACGACCTATTGCAGGCCCGTAAAAATGCCGACAAAATAAAACTGTCCCTGGAGAAGGAAATCAAGGATCTGAAAATCAAATCCTCAAAATCAGATTCAAAACAAGTGCAGGAATTGAAGAAACAAGTTGAAGACCTCCAGGACTCGTTGAGCAGCGAAACAAGGCGCTACAACGATCTTAATGTCCAATGGGAAAAACTGTCTGAGGAGACCATACTAATGCGGGCTCAATTGACCACCGAAAAGAACACCCTTCAGACGGAGCTCAATAATGCCAACCAAAAGATATCTGAATTGGAGACGATTCGTGTCAACCGAACGGAACTGGCCAAAAAGCTGAACGATGCCCAAAAGAAAATCCAAGAACTGGAGACCAAGACCCTCAAGAATAACTCCAAGGAGTACGAAAAGACAATGCTGCAGAACAAGCTGGACGAGAAGACACACGAGTATGAACGTCTGAAGAGAGAGAACGAGATGAATATTGATCTGGTGTTCCAACTTCGCAAGGATAACGACGATCTGAACCGTAAGCTGAGTGACTTCACTCGCATAGAGCAGGCAAAGTCGTCGCTCAATGGGCATAGCGCAGATTTGGAAAATGAAATAAAGGCCTTGACGAAAAAGTGAGTCTCTATTTGGTATTTATTTCGAACATTTGCATTTATTTTCATTTACATACATAAAGGCTTGAGAGTGCGGAGCTACAATTGAAATCGGAGGTGGCATCGACACGACTTCGCTACGAACAGCAGGTGAAAACGCTTAGTTCCGAATTGACATCCATGCAGGTGAGTGGCCACAAATCGTTTTCCGTGTGGGGAATACCATTAATGCATCCCTTGCAAATTGCAGCGCCAATGCGAAAAATTCAAAAAGGATCGCGATGCATACAAACAGATGTTTGAGTCAGCCCAAAAGAAAATCGGTGATCTCAAGGCAAACAACGCTGGTCGCCAAAGTCGTGGTTCAATGCACAGCAGCGATGAAGATGACAAGAGCAAGATTGCCTACTTGGAACAACAGGTGAGTTGAATTTGGAACAACGTTGAATTAGTATCGGATAACTGAAATTTATGCCACTTCAGATTGGTTGCCTGGAAGATCAACTGGTAGAAGCTCGCCTGGAGGTCAGCAAAGTCAAAACTGAATTGGTCTCGGAACGCAGTGCCAACGAAATTAAAATATCCGAAATGCAATCAAAGCTGAATGAATTCGAGGAGGAACGAGTCATTGGATCGGGCCGCACCAAGATACCGGGCATGAAGACAAAACTGGAATTGTCTTGGCAAAAGGAGCGTGAAGATCAACAACGGCTCTTGCAGGAGACATCGACGTTAGCTCGCGACTTGCGTCAAACACTCTTTGAGGTGGAACGAGAGCGCGACAAGGAACGCTTGGAATCGAAGAGACGCCTTGAGCAATTGAAACGAACCACCGAGGAGGAAATGGAAGAGGGTCGTCGAAAGATTGCTGAGCTACAATGTGATCTCCTCGAACTACGTGACGTTCATGCGAAATTGAGAACGTCAAATGAGAAGCTGCGAAGAGAACGGGAACGCTATGAAAAGGAATTAATAAAGCGTCGCATGGAACAAGAGGGAGGTGAACGCAAACTTGGGGCACTTCTGCAAACGGTAGATGAGCTGGTAAAGATCGCTCCAGACCTAGCTGGAAATAGAGCGGCTCCCACGCCAAATGATCTGAGACCCGAACCAACGGCAGTCAGGAGAAATCGCAGCCCATCACCATCCATGAACACCTCGAATGTATCGGGCGTGCTGGCTCGCCTAGCCGAAGCCTCCGAGGAGGTGCGTAAATTCCAGCGCATCAGCGAGGAGGAGCATGAACGCTATCGAATGAGGCGCAGTAATTTGAGACGTGCCGCCTCGCAAGAAAATGATCCACATGGAAGTCAAAGCTCAGTGGCCAGTGCCGCAAGTACCAGCAGAAATGGAACAAAATTATCGCGGTCCAGCCACAATGGCAGTTTGATTAGGAAAAGTCTTTCGCTGGATCACTCTATCCAAAGGGATCAGGTATTATTCGAGCAGCCTAGCCAGAACTTTTACCACTGATCATCTATTTTCTCTTTCCTTCACTTCCCTTTTAGAATATTTGGCGCCAAGATGACGGCAGTGTTTCCTCGATGCAATCCATTGACTCCGAATTGGGTGGCTTGGTACGCGACTCGAGCTATGATTCTCGACTAGATTCACGATTATCCGGTGGCTCGACGCAGAGTGACATACCACGTGGACCTCGCAAAAAGAAGAAAAGTCTTATGGGAAAACTGAGAAGTCTCACAAAGAGTGGTCGCAATTCCGAGAGTGAAATATCGGTGGGTATTACCAAAATTGAATCCTGAATTTTTTTAGCTTATTCCCAATGGGGTTCCGTTGTAGATTCAAGGATCAGACTCTGACATAAGTGTAGCCAGTGACATGAGAGCGAGTAAGAAGGATTTACGTGGCCGTCTCTCCGGCATGTTCAAGAGATCAGGATCGACATCACGAAGTGGCAGCACGGAACGTACGTCGAGTGAACAGAGGCCAGTGGCTGTGACGGTGGTCGGCGATGAGGACGGTCCGCAGCCCAGAGATCCACCACCAGCCAATGCAGTGACTCCGAAGCCCATTCGATCGGTATGTTCGTTGCCTTACCAACTATTACGACCTTCAAAAAAGTTTTCAATATTGCTGAATATGATATGATTTGTTGGGTATAAAATTTATACGACATATATTATTTTTCTGCTATTTAAAACCGATATTGAAATGTTTTTTGTATTCTATAAAACGCACCTTCAATCTGATAAACTTATGATTCTGTTTTTTTTTCTTACAGATTGCTAAGCCTCCAACGCCAACCACTCCAATCACAAAGCGCAAAACCGCCAAATGATAAATCAATTCAATCAATCAATCAATCAATCAATCAATCATTTGTAGTCTATTGTTATTATTTATCAATTATTTTTTGTTTGTTTCATTTCATCATTTTCACATACCATAAGAAATTAGAACTTTTTATTGAATAAAATATACACCGTACGTACATACATATGTACTACAGATATTGTTACGTAAATGTCGTTGCATTTTTGGTGGGGTGGGTGCGGATAAAAAACACCAACGTTTCAGGAGACGAACATGAATGTCTGTGTGTCTGATACCCTGGCTTCAATCATCTTCTTCGCTTATATTTTTTTACGTTTTGATGTGGCGTTTCCACTGCACTTGATTCGCTCTCTATTCGTTGTTTGACCCTTAACTATGAAAAAACTACCTAATTCTTCACACAAAATTTCCTGAGCGAACACTCATATTTGTACGTTGTTCAAATCAAATCACTCTCAGAACAACGAAAAAATATGTCCCATCCCTAAAAATGAGAGCATTTATCGAAAAATAAATTATGACATTTAAAAATTATAAATAGAAAAATTTAATGAAATTTTAAAAATTTTTGGGAAGACTGAAAATTATGAATGAAAACTACAATGTTGAATGGCGTATGTACATTCAAATGAAAGTAAATTTTGTTTTCTCTCTTATTCGAGGTACGAATTTGGTCCACGAGTTAAAATTTCTACAGAAAACTGCAAACAAAATAGTCAATATTTTCAAAATGTTTCTATCGGCAGAAAAAATGTTTGACAAGTGTCTCTTCAGCAGAATTTAAAAATGGAAAATCACAAAAATATGTTCAAAATGTCAACATTTACACAAAAAGTTGAAAACGTGAATGAAAATTGTAAAATTAATGATATAATAAATCTTTGGGAGAAAAACAATAATTACTTATTTTCATATTAGTGAGAATTTCATGTATTTTCGTATACATTCCCTTTAAAATCAACAAACAATTTTTTTGAAAAAAGGAATTATTTTACTATGAATTACGAATCGTGCCGTATGAACGGGTTAATTCGTGTACCTAATTCTGAGAGCGAACAACGTTGTTCGGTTTCCAATGGAAACATGCTATGAAATGCGAATGAGTGACACCATAGCCGATAAGAAACTTACGATCTTGAAGGTCAAATATCATTTGTGACTTGGACCTACGGGGTTTCATTAAAGTTATCTTAAGGTTCAATTAGACGTGACATACAAAATAGTCGTAGCCATAATGATATCCATAACCTTAATAACATTCAATAGAGGTACCATAGTCTTAAACAGCTGTTATTTGAATATGTTGTCATTGAACATGCCAAAAAACATTAAAAATTATATGGACAGCGATGTTGAAATTTATCAATAATATAATATAATCGATTTTTTTTTAAATTATTTATTAAGTCTGTGGCTTACAAACATCCTTACAGACTAAACTGTAAACAATGGCAAAACAATAGAGGTAAACTGATTTGCTAAATTTTATATAGCAACCCTTTTCTAAAGAACTCGACCATGTCATTTTTCGAATAAAATCTACAGTAGCTCCAAGCGAAAGTCGTACAGATAAAGAAAATAATTTATTTTTCTTATAACTTCCAAAAATCAAAATTTACAACAAAAATGTTTTTTTTACATTGTATTAGTACACATAGTCTGCATAGTTATTTAAAAAGCAATAAATAAATAAATATTAAAAGAGATCGTATTTCAATGCCAAATCCAAACTCGTACACTTCGTAGAATTTAAAGTACTTCTAGACATGATATTTTGTATGCATTCCTTTACTTTTTTACCATTTGTAGCCTATTTGGCACACTTTCAACAAGTTGTTCGCAAAAGCTAAGTTAAAATTTTTGTCATTCTTCTAACAACGCTTTCTTCAAATCTTCTTTGCAAGATGTCGTATGCTGGCGGATTTTTCCATCGAGATAGCTCCATAAATTCTTTATGGGCTGGTGTATCCATGACGTGGGGACAATTATATAGCAGCCATGATACATAGTCTGATCCATATTACCCTCAATAAAATGCAATACCACACCATTACTGACCCACCACCGTGATTCACTATAGACTTCATATTTTTGGCAGGGAGCGCCTTCATTTCTTTTCATTTCATTTCTCCATACACAAGGTCTGCCATCTGAACCAAAAAGGTTAAATTTGCTCTCGTCCGTGAACAGCATATTCATTCAAAATGAAAAATCGTTTCAGCAATTTTTGCGAGCTTCGGCATAGTCAAAAATGGATCCTTTTTGATCTGCAGTAAAATATACTTTCATATTTTTAAATATTTTATTATCTGCCGTTTTTGACTTATTTTCCACACATCCATATGTTTTGAACCGTTTTATGATGAACTGAACTGTAGATCGATTTCTATTAAAAATTTTAGATATCTCACTTAGCGGTTTATGGAAATTTATGATAAATTAACTTTTAGGGACTTGCCCAAATACATTTTCCAAAAATCGCGTGAAGTCGGATGCAGTTCGAAACAGAGTTGCCATATAAGTTTGTTGAGTTTTAGAATAAATCCCATTATTTTGTTAAATAAATAAAAACAGTAAATTTTTGTTCTACGGCTAGTTCTAGTTCCCTATACACTAATACAAAATATAGATTTCTTCCGGTATTGAATTTGAATGCTAAGTGTACGAGTTTCGCTTGGAGCTGCTGTATTATCAAATCTAAAATATTTTCGTACGACGAGTGACAGTCTTTACAAAAATAGTAAATAATCCTTTAATTTTCGGGGCTACTTTCACTTAAAAACAGTTATAGGTTTCATATCATAGGTATAGGTGTTCTTGGACTTAGACACATAAAGATAGAGATTTCGAACCCTTCATCTTAAGGAAACGTTTTCGCTGATGTTGGTCCTTGTGTATGCCTCGAATGACCTTTCACTTTAGGTCCGTCTTCAAGTATGAAAACCCAAGAATTACCAGCTGAAAATGATGCCAACATCTTCACAATACCTGATATATGGGTTCTGTACTCAAACGAAAACTTAGGCGAACAATATCTTGTAACGAATTTAATGCAAATTCGAGTGAAGATGAGGGATGGCAATATTTTACCAATATTGTAGCAAACCAAACGTGATATTCAACCAATTCAACCATTCCATAATTAAGTCTTACATGACTTTCATATTCTTCCTTGACCTTACAGCCTCTAAGTGGCGTGAAAATAACAAAATATTTGTTCGAATTTAAAAGCAAAATTCTTACCTGCTGTATGCCCATATTTAAGGAATAACTACAAAATAAAAATTTGACAATGAAGGAACATAAAATAAAAAATGTAATTGTATGACAGCACGAGATTACCTTGGTAACTGTACCCTGCTATAGACCACTAATATTTACAACAATTTTCCAATGAAATATAATACTAGGCATTCAATTGTAATATTATTATACCCTCCACCATACTATGGAGGGTATATTAACTTTGTCATTCCGTTTGTAACTCCTCGAAATACTCATATCAGACCCAACAAAGAATATATTTTCTTGATCAGCGTAAAATTCTAAGTCGATTTAGCGATGTCCGTCTGTCTGTCTGTCCGTCTGTCTGTTGTAATCACGCTATCTTTCGAATGAATTGAGATAGGTGGCTAAAATTTTGCACACATGTTTATTTTTCCAGTAGGCAGGTTAAGTTTGTAAATGGGCCATGTAGGTCCACGTTTTCATATAGCCCCCATATAACGGTACCTCCCTATATTCGATATTTTGATGATTTTAGCGACATTATTCACCGGAATTGTTTTAAAATTGGTATTTGAAGTTCGTTATGGGAACTACAGTCTGTGACAGAAAATTGTCTGTGCGGGTCCAGGTCTTCGTATAGCCCCATATATCAGTACCTACCTATATTCGGTATTTTGACGATTTTAGGTACAATAGCCACCGAAATTGTTTGAGATGTGGTATTTGAAGTTCGTAATAGATGCTACAGCCTGTGACAGAAAATTGTCTATGCTGGTCCAGGTCTTCGCACAGCTCCAATTTAACGGCACCTCCCTATATGCGATATTTTGATGATTTTAGCTACATTACTCACCGTTTATTTCAAGTTTCGAATTTGAATATGGTAATGGCTTATGACAAACAATGCCTATGTATGTCCACGTCGTATAGACCCCAAAATAACGGCTATACTCGGTATTTTTAAAATTTTAACAGAATTTTTAAGGATTTTATTTTTTGAAAATTTCCAAATTCGTTGCAAATGGTGGAGGGTATTAAAAGTTCGGCCCGGCCGAACTTACAGCTTTTTAACTTGTTCTACAATAATCTAGTTACTAAATCGTGTTACTGTTTCTCTCGTACAGACCATGGTAGAATTAAGAAGGTAAAGTCATGCAATCGTATGTTTACAAAATTTTCAAAAGTATTCATTTGACAACATTTCATTGTCAAAAAATGTATTTATAAATCCATTGTACATACACAAATCAGGGATGGGAACCACCTTTCTATGCAGTGAAATTTGACAAGGCAAATTACAGAAAATGCAAAGATGGGAATGCTTATCTGAAATGACTTTACCTTCTTAATTTTACCATGGTACAGACCATGCCATAATTACAGAAGGTAGAACAAAGCAAATTTTCGGCTTAAATGGGTAACAAATTGAACAATTTTGCGATAAAAACTGTATTGTCCTGCTATTTTAGATTCCATCTGGTGGAATAACCCCGAACTTCCATTCTTGTTTCGCGGGATTTTTTCCCAATATAAGAATTTTGTTAAAAAATATATAAAAGTAAACAAAGCCTACTGTTGCATATTTAAAAGTCTATTTGAAACTATAAGTCTCCAGCACAGAGTTGCATTTTTCCAATTTCTTTGAAGTTGAGCAACCTTTTTTATTGAGCCATGGTACAGACTATACCCAATTAAATTCCTTTTTGGAATCAATTGACTGGACAATACTTCAATAGTCAAGTTCCTTACACGAACTGGTTAATACATTTTATTTCACTTTAGAAATCGGTGTATCTAATGTTGTACCTAAAAGTTTTATCAAGAATCAAACAGGACCCCCATGGGGTTCATATTCATTGTCCAAAAAAAAAAAACAAGAAGAATAAACTATATAAAAAATTCAAAAAGAGTGGTACACTTTCAGACTTGCCATACTTTTCTGCTATTAGATGAACG